TTTACGGCCGATAGAAGTAGAAAAATAGGTGCAAAAACTTCGAACTCTAATCGAAGTATTTTTCGAAATTAGTTATACCTGGGTAACATTTTTTTCACATCGATCCAAAACTATTAGGTGTCGTATGACTTACGTGCAAATTTTTACCTCCTAAGTCCCCACGTACATACATCAAACTGTACATATAATGTGAAGTAATTCAGATCCACACAATATTCCTATGATCACGTAAACGCCTAGTGTCCATTATAATGAAAATACCGCATTCAAATTTAACGCTATGTGTTCTATATTTGACCATAGGGCAGTGTTGGGCGTTAATCAATTAAATTTCAATCAATAATTCAATCAGATTAAAAAATCAATTCAATTGAAATCAATTGCAATTAAATCAATTGCGACGCAATTGATTTTAATTGCCATCAGGCCCCTTAACTGGCCCCTAACTGGGGCCCCCAACCGAGGCCCCCAACCTGGGCCCCAACCGGGATCCCAACCGGGCCCCCCAACCGGCCCCCCAACCGGGGCCCCCAAGCGGGGTTCCCAACCGGGGCCCCCAACCGGCCCCCTAACCTGCCCCAGCAGGCCCCCACAACCAACGCCCTAACTCACCCCCATATGCCCTATAAATTTATCATAATTGTCAGTTTTAATTGTTAATTGTTAATCAAAAACATTGAAAAGATTGAAAATTGATTAATTGTTAATTGTAGATATTTGCGATTAACGGTTGATCAATTGTTAGTTGCGAGAACCGCAACTAACAATTGATCAATCGTTAATTGCTGTTTCGCAATTAACAATTAATCAATTGTCAATCTTTAATTGCCAGAACAATTAAATTTTGCCCAACACTGCCATAGGGTATCTAGAAAAATACGTATTTCATACAAAACTCAAGATATATTTCCTTGAACTTGAAGCATGTAATTATATTTAGCGCTTTTCCCATTGTAGTTGCTGGGTCTTAAAAAGTTAAATCCTACTTATTTAGAATAGTCGAAAGTAGTAAAATTGACATGTGATCTAAAAAACACATGCTCATAGATTTTATTTATGGTGTGACACATGCTTGGCCACAATTTCACCTAATTTAAGTATTTTAACCGTCAAGCATTCGTTTGGGGCAACAAGAATCCATATCTAATTAGTAACAAGTTTATACGTACGACCCTATAGGTTGACTATACCTGACCAATTACATAATCTGTACCCTGACGCAAAAAAGGAGAGTTATAAGTTTCAAGCCTTTGCCTGTGAACTTGTACCTGTATCGGGCATCGTAGCTCCCAAACGGCTGGACTGATTTTAAAGCAGTTTTTTTAAGGCTGGTTAAGTCGGGATGGTGCATAGTTATGTTTGATGAACATCGGTTCAACTGTTTAAAGATCATCGGCTCTTTTCACAGTTAGCGTAAGGATCGCAGTTTACTTCCACTTGTGCGATCGACATGATTTCGTATACTATGGATATCCGATATGGGAACTTTGAATTGATGTAGAAACCAGGTCAGTCTGCAGACTACCCGACTCCTCACCCACTTACAGTAGTACTATCGTGTTTTCATCTCGGCGAGTAGCTTACAGACTATTGACTTTTGGCATAATTTGATACACGGTTGACACGGTCTCATATCGGGGATATTTAAATTTTAAAACTGTACTTAAACTATTTTTTCAAAATAAGTATGGTTTCAGTTTTAGTTTCTTGTTATAAGAATTTTTTTTCATTATTATGTGAATATGATGCATGCTATAGTTTTGAGTTGCGTTGTTAGACTTTTACATTTAATATCTACAGTCTTAGAATAATAACGCATAGAATGATAGTTTCATATCAAACGAACTGTCACAAGTGAGGCAAAAACCAAATTCATGTAGGCGTAAGCAACTTGTAACTACGCTCGTCGGCACGCACACAAATATACAAATAATGATGCCATGGAATAACATTTCCCTCAGAAGTGGGGAAATTGTATCTTGCTTAACTCATCATTAAGTTAAAGGTGCCTACAGATTTGCCCGACATTGTCGATCAGGTGCCTACAGATGTGCTCGATTTTGTCGATCGGCAATGTCGATCAGGTGCCTACAGATATGCTCGGTTTTGTCGATGAAAAACGAATATAGCACTTATTTGTAAATCCAAGATGGCGGACACGATTTTTCAAAATATGCTATATGGGTATCCTTTTCGAGGTATTTGGGGATGCTCATTACGAATATGGCACTCATTTCTAAATCCAAGATGGCGGACACGAGTTTTCAAATAAATGCAATATGGGTATCATTTTCGAGGTATTTGGGGATGCTCATTACGAATATGGCACTCATTTCTAAATCCAAGATGGCGCACACAAGTTTTCAAATAAATGCAATATGGGTATCATTTTCGAGGTACTTGGGGGTGCTCATTACGAATGTGGCACTCATTTCTAAATCCAAGATGGCGGGCACGATTTTTTCAAAAAAATGCTATGTGGGTATCATTTTCGAGGTATTTGGGGATGCTCAATGTGAATATGGCACTATTTGTAAATCCAAGATGGCGGGCACGATTTTTCAAATAATGGCAAGTTGGGTATCGTTTTCGAGGTATTTGGGGGTGCTCATTACGAATATTGCTTTTGTTTGCCATCTTGGATTTAGAAATGAGTGCCATATTTGTATTGAACATTCCCAAACATCTCGAAAACGATACCCAACTTGCCATTATTCGAAAAATGGCGCCCGCCATCTTGGATTTAGAAATAAGTGCCATATTCGAAACCTAAAACCGAAAATGCCATAAGCAAACATTAAAGAAAATAACTGTTAAAATAGATTAAAAAATCGCTTAAGAATGCTCCCCTTTTAAGAAAATAAAATATTTCAATATCAAATATTTCGCTTGAGTTACGAAAAGAAAGACATATAATAAGCTATCAAAGTTGTAGGTACTGGTGGTGCCAACACTATAGTAGAAATGAATATATACTGTAAATTTGTTGCAATATGTGCTGCAATTCAAATAAAATTAAAATAAATAATTATTCAATAAAGCATGAACGCAGAGCCGTTAAAAGTATTATAAAATAATTAAGTGTCCCAATCACTTACAGGAGTTAACGAAAACATTTAATTTTTATTCATGTAAATATTAGTTCAAGATGCGCAAATAAATCGAAACTACAGGCACCACTAAAATTTACGTAATATAATTATTTTGATACAGAATAGCAAAATGGGGAGAAAAAAAATTCGTTACTTTGCAACACTTTCGTATCTTGTTGCCGCGAAATTATTTTTCTGTTTTAGTGAATAATTACATAAAAATATGAGTTGAAACGCATTACTTACTTGTGGAATGTGATGTTAGTGTCTATTTTATGTTTGTCTGTTCTATTTTTACACCCATTTACCGCACATTTCGTCATTTTTAGCAAAAAATTTTGGAGCTGTTCGCGGTGCAATTTGACCTTGAGCACTAACAACCCGCGCGCTCCTGGGAGCCCGTGTAGAAGCCTTTAACTTGCCTCTCTTAGCGTGTGCGGGCTAGGTTTCTATGCGTTATTATTCTAAGTCTACAGTATTGTATCTTATTACCTGTTATACATAACTACAATAAATATAGGAGTAGGTGTACATTTATATAATGTTTAAATGAATGCATTTTCCTCACGAATTTTCATGTAATAATATAATATCTGTAAATTGACAGTCGACCTAATGACTGATGAATGATGATACAAGGGATTTTCCGCGTGAGACGTCCAATGCAAGACGGAAATAATAGCAACGTTATATATATCTAGTAGCTAATAGCTGGATATCGGTGTTGGCGGTAAATATTTATCGGTTTAAACTGTACACACACCAATATTCTAACGTTATCGTAAAATCATATTAAGCTGTAGTGTCACGCGTAAGTTAATAAAAATGGAGCCGAAGTAGGTAAGTAAAGTGTGTACATTAGAAGATTATATATGCATAGTGTAGATAGTAGAAATAAATATTTACCAAAGTTTCTGGCTGAATTGCATCGTTAACACGGACTTCTTCGGGTGGCTGAACGCGGCAAAACAATCTTTTGCAAAACGCGCCGCAGCCACATCCATCACTGCTCACCATCGTGTTTTATAAACCCTTATGCATACTTTCACGCAGAAACCATTACATTAATACACTATTTGTATTCACATCCTTACAAAAATAATCTACTCGCACGCAACACCAACTAATACAGCTCGTGCACGCGTCATCTCAAGAAGCTATAAATGTTGTTTTGAGTGTGGCCGAAACCGAGAGCTCGTGCTCTCTGTTCAATACAATAGTTGCCTCCTATTCGTACTCCAACACAAAGATTCTATAAAATGAATCAGCGAAAATATCGCTATCTGGCGGCATAGCTCCTAACTACCTGACCGTTCTACGGATCAAAAGTTTGTTTTTAGAAGGTTATAAACGTTAGTCGTGTGCGTAAAACTTCGTTTCTACGATAGGTGGCTACACAAGTTTTACTTTTATTTATTAGATTATAAAGTCCGTATCACGACGACGCGAACAATCAAAACAATAAAATTATTGTACGTTATCGAATTTCTGATATCAAACAAAGACGATTAAAAACAATGGACCATAAAATTCACACGCAGCTATAAACTAGTAGTATTGTGATCTCAAGTGCATTGTAAAAGGACATGGCGCGATTCAAGTGCATTGTAAAAGGACGTGACGCGATTTATTACTATTATTTATTGTCCCCCTAGGCATGAGTATTTCCTTACACGGCCCTTTAGCAAAGAAAGAGGTAAATAACACAATCGTCATTCTTCTTCAACTTTATGACGATCGGTTGTAAATTTATTTAACAAGTAAAGGACAAAGCTATTCCTTTGCATTTCTTGATCGCAAATGTAGAAAAAATAATGAGTCACTTGTCAATGATTAAGCAGGTACTAAATAAATGTGTATTTAACAATATTGTTGTTTCATTGGATGATTTGTTTACTTCGAACTAACCTCAAATTCCAGCGCGTCATCAGCAATGTATTCAAAGTCTATTAGTTCCTTTGGGATACCTTCAACAACACCGTAATCCATTTCCAGGCACTTCACACATTGCATTGCACGATTCAAATGGTTTAATTGAATTAAAACATAAACGTATTATTGATTTAATTTACTTACTCCGTTAAAACTATGTTAAACGCAGAGAGCAGCTATTATAGTGAAAGTGTATGTTGTAATTGTAACCAATTAAAAACAGCGACTTTTAGCCACTGAAATAGGGTATAAAGCAAACTAACTTTAAAGCGATAAAATAATACAACTTGCAGTCGCACTGCAGATATAGAAGTAGTACGTACAGTGGACACTGAGCGATAATAGAAGTTTTTTGTCCTTTTCTTACATGTGTTACACTTGTATAAATAGAAGGAGACAAACGATGTTATTGACACACGGTTAACTCTCACTGTTTCATGAAATAAACAAATTAACAAACCGAACGAATAGACAACGCTGTGGTTGTTTAAAAGACTAAAACATTATTTCAAGTTATTTATTCGACTGAAACAAACAATACCATCAAAAATATCTTTCGGTACATACCTATTTTATATTTGTTATATTCTACTGAAACAGACAATGACACCAAAAATATGTCTTCCTTATTTTATGTCATATGTATGAAGGCGTTGGAGAAAAATGATTTAATGAGGAATAGAAAATCCTAGGGATAAGTTGATAAATTGATGAATGTTGCCATAGTCGACTTTACGCTTTGCTTAATCTGCAACACACAAACATAACAAAAAATGTTGTTTTTATTATTTTCTATAAGCGTCCAAATAGCACGAAAGCCATATTATCTTTTCCGCATATTTTCTACTAAAAGCTTAAGACGACAACGTTATTATGACATGTGCCCTCCGCCTAATAAAGAAGGCTTTAGCGCAGAAAGGTGACGTATTTAAGGAACCAATAAGATTGAGATATTTTTTTTAACCCTTTGATATAATTTCTCTTCTCTATTTTAAGTCGGATACTCACTCACTAACGAGCTGTAACTATAACCGTTGCATGTTATCAAAAATATTGTCTACATAGTGTGTACGTGATATCCAGGTACATTCTAGCGTGCGAAGATTGTTTCTCGCGTACAAACTAGAACCTCGTTACTGTATCTGTC